CTGGAATCCATGTTTTCCGAAGTATTCAATTTTTCATCATTGGTTTTCAGATTTTGTTCAATGGGAACTTAGTCGAAAAAATTTTGTTTTCGTTTATTTATCACAGGTTGCAGTTTAGTAATTTTGTTGTTTTTATCAAGTTTGTTACTGTCAGCTGCTTGAATTAAACACATAATCTGAATAAATCTATCGCGCCTCATATGCGAAACAAATTATTATAAAATAATTTGTTTCGCATTTCATCACCACTATCCAAGTAGAACCTTTTCCTGGGTAATTTATAATATCTTGACAAAACGAAAGTGGCAATAAAATATTTAAGCTCTCTAGTGTAAATACGAGGGTCTGAACAGTGCAAAAGTAATGCATATCTCTGCAAGCAATTCCTACAAATTTGCATCAAGAAATATTTCAAATATATCGGTGCATGATATGTCTTTATAATCATGTCACAGTTGGGACAGAAATGTTCCATTTGTAAGTTATCTTACGTATCTTACTTGATGATGGCCCTGAATCACTTCCACATTCGTTGGTTTCGTCTTCATTTATACTTTGTGAAACTATTTATACACCGGCTAGAAGTTGTTTACCTGTCAAATTTTCTATTAATCCAACAGAATCTTCATAAGCAGAAATCTCGTCAGTGTACTCTGCCACTTTAGGAGGATCTGTATGTCTTATGATTTATCATCAATCTCCTGTTCCAGTAAATCCGAGATTTCATGCACTTTCTGACTAAAAGGACCAAATATAACGTTTCAGCAAGTTATGTACCTATAAGGACTTAGCGTTGCCACGCGAACTTGGGCATAAAAACCTTCATTACGTCAAATATACACATCAAAATAATATGTTTTCAGTCTTATTATAAACTTATAACTGAATATTATTATGTAAGAAACGAGAAACAAACTTAACGAAATAAAAATATATGGGTCTTACTTCTTGCTGGTTGACATTACTGCGAAATTTATGACATCCAACAAATGAAATCACAATTACTATCAAACTTTAAATACCACTGACGACTAAGGGCTGATCCTCATTACAATACTGTTCACAGTTCGTTCTCGGTCCGATCTCGATCTGATAAAATATTATCAGGTAAAAAATATGTGTGTGCATTCATACTATCCGTAACAGTCAAGTTTCGGTCGAATCCCATTCCATTATAATAAATTAGACCAAATTCGGACCGAGAACGACCTGTGAACGGCAAATGAGGATCGGCCCTAATTGTTTCTTACCGAAGACTAATATATTATGTCGTTACAAGTTAACAAATTATAAGAATCACTGAGGTTCATAGCATATAATTTCAAATCAAATCAAATCAAATTAAATAATTTATTTGTAAAACATAAGTAAAAAGTTACAAACTTGGTGGCAAAGGTATGATACATAAGTAACACTATGTTTCGCCTAAAAAGGCATACAAATATTTGTTTATCACTATCACCTCGCACTATGAAAATTTATTTTTAATAAAATAACAATTTCAATTATAATTCGTATGTTTAGAAATTACATAATTCTTAACACCATAAAGATAAATAAATCGGACATTAATTATTGTAGGTACTAAAGACCATTAATTTTATCTTCAAAATATTCCTTGATAGAGTAGTGTGCTTTATTTATAAAAAAAACTCGAAAGCAATTTCTTAAATTTGTCTGTTATCAGTTTTTTTGATGTTTTTTGGGAATTTATTAAAAATTTTAGGAGCCATACCCAGGAAACTTTTTGAATACAGGGCTTTTTTATGAGGTTTTGTACGTAGTTTGTTCCTATGTCGTTTATTATTAGCGTTTTCAAATATGCTAAAATGTTTCCTTACAAACATAGCTACTTCGAATATATATAAAGATGGTAGGGTCAGAATGTTAAGATCAATGAAATGCGGTTTGCAACTATCGGTAACCTGCAACTGACATACAGCTCGTAAACATTTCTTTTGCACTTTAAATAATAATTCGCGTTTTGGAGAGTTTCCCCAAAATATTATACCATATCTCAATGTTGAAGAGACGTATTCATGGTAGGCGGTTATGATTGTTTCACGATTTATAATTTTTATAAGGTTATGTAGTGCATAGTGGTATTGATTTATCTTTTTTATTATGTGTTCAGTATGTATACTCTGTCATTTTTTCGTCCAGCCAAAGTCCCAGAAATTTTGTGTGTTCTTTTTGTTTATGAGTTTAGTTTTATAGTAAATATTAAGTTTTGATTGTTTTTCTTTTGTTTGAATGACATAATATGCGTTTTATCTAAATAAATTTTAAGTTTATTGTCATTCAGCCAACTTATTATCCTGTATAAATTCTGAGTTATATCCGGTTCTAATGAGACCTTGTCTCGTCCCGTGAATAAAACTGTGCTGTCATCAGCAAATAATGTCATAGGGTGCTGAGTCACTTGGGGCAAATCATTGATATATATTAAGAATAGTAATGGACCGAGTACGCTTCCTTGCGGCACACCGTAGGTTGTTTGCTTTTTATGATCCGTAAAGTGAGTAGTTGACCCACGTTGCAATGTGGTAATACTAGGCCCAAATGGGTTAATGTGGCGTTATTAAGCTTTAAGATAGTCATCAATTACCATTAATTTTCGATTTCTCAATTTTTCGGATAAAATTTAGCTCCACTCCTGGTATTGCTGCTACCTGGTTCAGCAATCTTACCGCCTGACCTCCAAGATGTGCAAACATGTTTAAGAAATTTATGTGATTTTTTTTTTCAATTTAGTAAAGTTAAAATCTACATGCAATAATAAGGGCGTATAACTAAGATGACAACGTGTGTGTTGGAAAAAATGAACAAGTATAAACTTTAGGAACATGGCACGCCAAAGTCTATGTGAGTAACACTGTATCTATTTTAAACTAAAGGTGGAAAATTTCTTTACGTACTTTAATAACCCGAGTAAAAACGAACACAATAATTTTGAAACGTGGATCAAATGAAACTGTACAGAAAGAAATTTGTACGAAGTCGTCGATAGCGGCCATTAAAATCAGACCTCTCTAGTAGCAAATTGTTTACCAGACACTGTACAAAGTTTAGACAGATGAAGCTGTAAAAGCCAAGGCTAATAGCCCAAACATCACAGAAACTAGACTGTATACAGTACGGCGTATAAATTTATCAATCCATTCCAAGCATCTACGTCTTTTAAAAGTGATCCTATTTCGGCAATATATACAGCTATGATCGAAAATTTTAATAATATGTAGGTTTCGACAAGTTTTCCTTTAATGTCAATATTGTTTTACAAAATTTAATAGATAAAGGTAACAAACGATCACACAGTACACCCTAATGTTAAGTGAATGCTGTTGCCCATAAATTCCTACATCTATCCCTAAATAAGAAACAGAATAAAGGTGCGTTATCGCCCCTGAGGATTATGAGAGAACTTCGGTACCAGTAAATGGGGTCACCGGTTCGCGACACTCATCGTACGAAACGCAGAAAAATTAAGCTGTTTATTTACGCTGGTATTTTGCGAACGTCTTTCCTGGTCAAACTGACCCATCGTACTGCAACCATTATATAACTGTAGCGTGGGTCTACCAGTTAGAAATACTTCATCTATATGCCGCATAATATTACACGTATGATGGTATCTCTGACGCTGTTATGTTGGTGAGTAAAGAAAATGGGAGTGGCCTTCTGAATAATCTTAACTTGATGTTCAGTGGGTCATTTGAGATACCATTACTTGGTCTCCGGTAACCAATTACTCTTAAGAGAGTATTTTATTTTAATGTTTTATCAAGAATAGGTTAAGATTATTAACTTATGTTATGTCGAGATTTTATATTTATCACCATTACTACCACCACAAGTATATTACTGAACATCGACCTATCCCACGGATTGCCCTAATGCATGCTTATAAACAACTTTCATTCACTGACTCTGTGAATATGGTTCCGTTATTCAGCAATATTTATGTTAAGACACACATATACACTTATCGAGTAAATAATTTCTTTAAATACACCGATTTGCTTTTCCTGTGAAAGAATTTTTCGTTTTGAATCTTGCGTAACCTTAAGTTAAAATTATGTAGACTACATTTTAGATTTAGCAACACTGTCTCATACGTGATAGATGTAAAATATTTACTAAAAGGAGACAAGTAACGAGCAATGAATTGTATTCTTACCTTAAGCGTTCAAATGGAAGTTAGTTTTAGATTGCTGTAATCTTCTGCCAAAGTCGAAGCCGAGCCGAGGTATAATTCTGTGTAGAAATTCTAGCGCTAGCCTACAACTACTACATAATAACAATCATATTTTGTATTGTGTTGTTTAAATTCGCCATTGTGGCCATTTGGTCCTTAATAGATGGTAGGATTCTTTTCTGCTTCTTCTATATTTACTTTGTACCGGTCTGAAGTTGAGATTAGAGAGCCAGTATAATTACAGGCTAAGATGTGAACGGGATTAAACGAATCTGAGTTTAAAGTTGGTTGAGGTGTCAAAGTGCAGTAGTCACTTGCATCAGGTGGCCTGTTGGTGCGCGTACTTGAATTTATTAAGAAATCATTATTATACTTATTAGTTCCACTGTGCATTCAGATTAATACTTCACAATTTGTAAATATTGCGGGATTAAATTTTCCGGGTATTTAGACAGCATTGAGATTTAAAGCATACGCTCTTACGCCGAACCTTTAAACTACCTCAGCCAGGCTGTTTCTAACTATAGTGACATTACATCATCTTATTTTCAAAAGGATTTTTGTAAGTAAATACACAATCTCTTATAAAATAGTATATAATTAAACGTTTTTTTTGTATTGTTGTTATTGTCTTTTAATATATTAACATTGATATTATGCCTTCAGTAGACTTAGGAAATTTCCATAAGCAAATTATACATACATTATCTCATATCATATCATATGTATATGCATTATCTCACAATTGTATAGTTCATGGCGAGCATTGCTGAGAAAATATTATTAATAGTCCTCTCCCCCTTTAACGGAACATGTTGTGAGGGTGCTGATTTTGTGGTGGGGGACGGTGATGCGGTGGCGGTGGTGGCGGATGATGGTGAAATTGCGGCGGTGGTGGATGGTGAGGTTGCGGTGGTGGCGCTGGCTGCCCCATTCCTCTATTTCCGTAATGACAATGTGGGGCGCAGTGGCCTGTGCCACAGTGAGGTCCGCAAGGTACCGCGTGCGGAGGTGGCATATCTGTAATTATAGGTATTCAAGAAATTATTACACTAAATATTTATGCCCTATGTTATAGTTTGACTAACACGTCGAATCACTTATGGTGTTAATAATTGTTTCAAAATTTACTTTACCTATATACAATGTAACCGTTTCTGCGTCTTTTGGTGGTCGTAAACTTACTTAGCGACTTGACTAATTGAGGTCATATATTTTTGTAGGATCCGATAGGTGGCGCTTTTGCCAAGTAATTAACAAATTTTATATTTATGAACCAAAATGCCTCAACGTTACAATATATGTTGATATAGTACCAATTTGGATATGACCGGTGGTGCTGTGGTCAAGTTATCAATAAATTTCATATTTACACTGTATAAAGTTCGAAGTATCTAAAGAGTGAAAATCTTTGAGTTAGCTCCCGGAAAGGGCAGAACAACGTCTGCCGCTCCAGCTAGTATATTCCTAAAATGTCAAATAAGACAACCAATGTTCTCACACTTTCAAAGAAAGTGTTTTTCCGCTCAGAAATGACAATATATATGTGCAAATTGCACTACTAACAAAATCCTGCCCTATGACAAATGATTAGCCGTATTGATTTTAGTAAAAACTTTTCACATTCTGAAATAAAATGTAACATTAATAAAAAAACATACTCATTTGTAATGAGACTCACATGACAAATGGTAATATTAAAAATTTTGTACAACCGACTTCAATACGACCGAATCAATGTATTCGAAGTCAATTAAATACGCATTATTAAAGATAACTCAAAACCTTCTGGTCAGATCTTGATTTATATGGGACTACAAGAGGAGTATCAGCTTTCGGATAAAAATAGAATCATCAAAATCTGTTCACTCTTAGAAAAGTTATGAAGTAACACATAATATAAAACATACACTCAATTTGAATACCTCCTCCTTTTGGAAGTCGGTAAAATTGCTGTAAATATGCAGCATTATAGTCATGTGATGTTTAAAATATACTTTATGATTACGAATAATTTTTATACATTGTATGTAATCTAGTTACAAGTAAAAAAAATATGAGCCGATAGATAAGTATTGCGATAGATAATTAGTATTATTATGACACCTGGTTGTCTCTCTGTGAATTTTTATTGTTCATTTAAATTAAAAGGTAAATCATACAAGTAAAAAAGTTATGTATTGCGATTAAATAAAATTACTTACTGTATCTATTAGATGTGTAAAGAGTATTACTTTATACTCGAAATAAATTGCTCGTTAGTTTTTCATTTGACACTATAACCGGCAACAGTGAACTCTTGATTTTATTGATTCGCTATTCTGTAATCTATTCGATTGTACTTTTATCCTTTTTCCAGGAACATGATAAGATTAGACAAATTGGGTGCGTTTGGCAGAAAAAAGCGCTAGCAAGCGCTTGTAAGCAAAATGGCGATCGTAAGCAGTGAGCGCTGTCAAATCGTAAGTAGCTATTTTCCTCTAGGACACGATGTTAGTTTTAACCGGGGAACCTAACCTAATTTAAATATATGTTTGTGAAGTATTCATATTAAAACTTACCAATCATAAATTTTTAATAACATGTATATGTTTATTCATGTCATTATATTACTTAAAACTAATATTGCACAAAACAACTTATAAACTCTATTTCAAAACAAACAAATTAAATAAGCAAAATGGCAGATTCTTTCAGCGCTACTGAAGCAGCAATCGTGTCCTGGTCTAAAACTATTTTAGCGCTAGTAAGCGCTTGCTAGCGCTTTTTTCTGCCAAACGGACCCATTTTATCTACATGACTAATGAAACACCACACAAAACAAATAAGTTATTCTAAAAAATCAAATGACGTGTTCGTAAGAATTCACGACAAATTATATTGTGTACGTGACTACAATCTACGAGCAGTCTGTGTACCCGCAACACAAGCGGAATAGCAGACGCATTGCCAGCTTTATAGAAAGGGGTAGGCTCTGATGATGGGAATAATTGACCACTCACTGTTGTTTGAGCTTGTAAATTATCGCTTGTTAGACTTGAAAACATCTGTAGTATTTGTTATGCTAGATCTCAAGAAGCTAGAAGCTACAAGGAATTATGCTAGCATTTACCGTACAATCGCAAGTAGTTTATTTTGGCTCGATTTGCAGGACATGGTTTAGCTGCCCCTCATTCGTCGTACATTTCTGATTATCATACCCAATTGACCTTAATTACAAATGACAATTTAATTCATAAAATCGTTGTTTGTCCACATTTACAGGGGAACGGAAACGGTTTAACAAAAACAATATATGGAAATTGAAAAAGAAAAGAATTTATTGGCATAAAAATTCGTAGAAAATATACAAAATAAACAAATATTTTATTTTTGTTAGAAAACTTCCTTAGCAAAATTTCGTCGTATATCGTAATCGGATGAATATAATAAGAAAGAATGCATACGGAACAAGCAAAGAAAAATATTTTAAAACATTATTTGAATGTGGCAGCTAAAAAAATATAAAGTTTATTAAAGGTGCTAAGTTAATGGTTTTCCATCTGTTTTTAGAAGATCTTCACATTTAATCGACTCTCAGAGTCTTGCCGGTTTTAAGACGTCGAAGAGCCAAGCCAAACACACTCTGAGTAACTAGAGTAAGAGGATCATACCAAAAGAAAAAAGCGGTCTAGGTGTGACCCGAGGGGTCCACACGACTAACTTCCCAGTGAAAAGAATAAAAAAACATCATATGTTTTAATATTTTATACAATTTTTCATTAAGCACAAAAAACGACTTGACCGATTTTGCTTAAAATTTTATGAGATATTACATAATTATGCGTTAAATGAAACTGGTCCCATGTCAATATCGCTCTTTGTTCTCGAGATACACAAGGCGAAAATTGAATTCAAATATACTTACATACGTACATACATGTGCACACACGGACATCCTCTTAAAAACCATACTATTCGACTATAAAATCGAAGACTCTCAGACTCAGACTAGAGACTCTTGAAACGTGGAGATATGTTAAAATTTCCACTTTGCAAAATCGGATCCATTACAATAACTTCCCACTGGGAAAATTTGACTAGGTAGTGTAGTGTTATAGTCAATGATAATAGTTACTACAATTTATTTACTTCAATGTGTTCCTTCGAGGTTCTTCTTTTCTATTCTCATATTCTTCTATACACGCTTTCATATGTTCAGAACTGTCCTGTTCCTGTGAGCTAATAATTAACTATATATATATATATATATATATATATATATATATCTTTTGTTATACTAATGTAACGACAAGGTTAGTAATGGCTGATCAACGTATAGACACTCAAGAAGTTTTGAGATATTCAAAAAGTATTCTAGATACTACTAATATTTATTTTACATCTTTTCATAATATTCTCCATCGTGCTCTATACAAAATTCCATTCGTCTAAACCAACTCTGAAAACACTTTTGCCAGGCTTGGTCTGACAGGTCGGAAATCGCTTCTCGCGCAGGCAGCCACGGCTTCTTCGGCGCTTGTAAAAAACTTGCCTTTGACTCTTGGGAACAACAAGGAGCTAAGTCAGGGTTATAGGGTAGGTGACTTAGGCTTTCAACAATAGATTCCTCAATAAATGCTTTTGTTTTAAGGGAGGTGATGTGAGAAGGCATTATCGTGATACAGCAAGATTTCCCGAAGCCCGGTCTTTGGTCATCTCGCCCGCACTGCTTGAAAAACTTTAGGTAATGCAACTGTAGTATACCATTCAGATTTGACTGACCTACAATTTTCCAGCATTGACGTGGACAAATGTCTGCTCCGCGAAAAAAAAAACTAGCCATCACTTTTTGCCGACGTTGCGAGGTTTTTGCAGTTGTATCGGTAACTGTCCTTCTGAGTAGACCCATGCCGATGACTGCCCTTTATTTTCCAGATCATATTGATCACTCCATGTCTCGTCACGAGTAACGATTTCTGAAACACGCCTAGATGACCCTTTTTCAAAACGTAGGGCATTTCATGGCACCAATCCACACGAGTCTGTTTTTCGCTTTCGGAGAGCAAACGAAGGCTTCATCGACAACAAAGCTTCCTCACTCTAAGATGTTGATGTAGGATGGTATGCATGCTCCCCGAACTAATGCCTACAATCTTTTCGATGTCCGTAAATGTAATTCGTGGGTCTTCTCGCACCAACATTTCAGTAGTCCATATATTCTCTGCCGTTACTGTTGTTTGCGGGGTCCCGGTTTTTTAGTCCTCTTTAAGGTTAGTTTACAGTTTTGAGTTCAGCTGGTTGCAAGAGATAGAGCTGAGTCGCTTAATGCTGATCGTAACCGTTGTAAAGTTAATTGTTCGGTTAAACCAAAGGACAATGCCGAACTCCCAAACAAATTTTATGTGACTTTTTTTCTTGCGTCTACATATGAAAAATATGTAAAAATATAGAGTTTAATATCCTTAACATTTTTTTCTACGGTCACACTACTGCAGCAAGTCAGGAATTAAAGATATTCCAGCTTAAACAAAATACACTTAAGACTAGGCTGTATGGTATAAAACGCCTTAATTGGCAAATCGATACAACAACTAGTCAATATAATTTATAAATATGTTTATATAGGGTAATTACTAGCATAGAGGGAATCCTTAAAGAACGCATTAGTATATATAGAAGAGTTTTCTGAATAAAATACACGTCAAACTCGCCTGTATGGTATAAGACTAATCTAAAAGGTTTACTGATGAATCGTAACAACTACAACAATTCAATCAATCAAGTTTTGAAATCAATTAAGTTTTGAATTGTGTATAATGATGTTTTCCAGACTTTGATAAGCCATAAGCTTGATTAGATAATATATAGTATATTATTTTATTCATATCTGTAATGGTGACATAAGTAGACACTTTATAATACCATCAACAATTAGCCACAACTAGTCAATTTAGTTTTAAATTAGGTAAGATGATTTTTTTCCAGACTTTGATATACCATAAGCTTGATTAGATAACACAAAGTAAATAATTTTATTGATATCTGTAATGGCGAGTTAAGTATACGCTTAATAATTCAATCACATATTATTTCGTCATTGTCCTGTATAATCATAATAGTTCATAACACGCAAATGTTTACGGTTAAGATACATCGTTCTAAATGAAAAGCGCGGGAAGCGTTGCAGGAAAATTAATAGAACTTTGTTTTTATTTTAATATTGAGCAATTGGCGTATGGAGTTCTATTTTTAAGTAAATTTGCTTTTCAGAAACATATAACAGAGGTGCATTCTATTTTTAAAATTCGAGCATCTCAAAACTTATTGAGTAACCTACGTATGGTCTCAAATATTTAAAAGCAATATATTAATAGAAATTGGACTTGAAAAGGATTATTATAGTGGCGTGTAGACTGCGAAGCCTATATAGGCTAACCGATATGTTCTAGGCGTATCATCTTAGTGCCAGTGGTAAGCGAGTTTGGTTTGGAGGTTTGACATTACGGCTTGCCCGTGGACATCGCACACCCCTAACGTTTGTGGGCGGTGTCTTAACGCATAGCTTTATGATACGTTGGCCATCTTACGGATTTGGGTGAGTGTGTTTGGTAGCAGTTTTAAGTGTAACAAGCATACTCAACTCCATGTCTGTATAGCGCTATGATACGTAGATTTTTGGCTACTGGCGTCTTAGTAGCGTGCTACTATGATACGTTGTTGTTATTTTTAGTTAACAACAATACCAATTTTGTTGCCAAAGTCGATAGGGATCATGTGGGTATGTTGTGAGAGGGCGCCATCCGTATATAGTTGCATGATGCTAACTGCTACTTGCAGTATTGCGTCTTGTAATAGATCTTCGGGTGTGCTGCGCCTGATTCAACGCACCGTGTGGTTCTGGTCGGGTTCGGGTGGTGATGTCCGCTGGGATAGCTTGGGGAATTTGGGATGGTATAAGTCCGACGATAGTCCTATTGATGCTTGTTGCGTTCTGCAGCATTGTGTCTCTGCGATGGTTGTTTCCTTGTGTCTTCTTGGTTTGACTCAAACCTATGTAGCTTTTTCCAATTCGGGTCCCTTCATGATGGAGCTGCAGACTGTCTGACCTCCATGATTTTTATATAACAACATAATAAAGTATGTCTGTAAATTTCCCATCTTTGAATAATTGAAGGCAACTTGTTGGTGGATGACAAAAACATGATCAAAAAATTCATATACTCGATGTCAGTGACACAAACCCATTCTGATGGCGAATTATTACTATTACGAGCTGTTCAAAAAGTATCACGAATTTTAAAACCGCGGGCTACGTATATTTGATTTTTGATTTTTTTGTAGCCTTATGTTGGTACTCATGCCTCATACTTATGCTGACAAGGTCGGTCATTTTTAATGTTTATTTAATTTTTGACAGCTCTTTTGCTTGGATGTGTTTTGGCTCGTCTTCGATTTTTGCCTATTCCAAAAAATGGATCAAAGAATCTGTATTATATTTTGTGTGAGAAACAAATTAAAGCGCGCCGATGCATTCCAAATGTTTACTGTGGCATATACTCGTAGTGAAGCTACCTTGGACCAAAGCAACGTTTATCGGTGGTTCAAAATGTTCTCAGAGGGCCGAGAAGATGTGAACGACGAACAGCGTGCCGGACGCCCGAGCACGTCAATAACAGACGATAACATTGATAAAGTGAAGAAAATATTATTGGTCAATCGTCGAATCATCGTTAGAGAAGTTGCTGAGGACCTAAACATATCGATTGGCTCGTGCCATTCGATTGTAAGTAATGTTTGGGCATGAGTCGGGTCGCCGCGAAATTCGTGCCAAAATTTCTCAATTTCGATCAACAACATTGCTCAGAAGATGTTGAACTCGGTCCGTGACGGCCCAAATGTGCTCCAGAGGGTTATAACTGGTGACGAATCATGGGTTTATGGTTATGACGTAGAAACCAAAGGTCAATCATCCCAATGGAAGCTGCCGCATGAGCAAAGACCGAAAAAAGCGCGCCACGTTCGCTGAAACGTGAAGGTTTTGAACACAGTTTTTTTCGATTGCAGGGGCGTGGTGCATCATGAGTTCTTGCCACAGGGTAGTACGGTCAATAAGGAATATTATATGCAAGTTATGCGCAATTTGCGCAAAGCAATCCGCCAGAAACGCCCGGATTTGTGGAAGAACAAAAACTGACTTTTGCACCATGACAACGCCCCTGCTCACACATCGTTGCTTGTGCGCGAATATTTATCCAAAAACAATACAGTAATGGTCCCACAGCCACCGCATCCCCCAGACTTGGCCTTCTGTGACTTTTTCCTGTTCCCAAAACTGAAAAGGCTTATGAAAGGACGACGCTACGCCACGATTGAGGAGATAAAGACGGCATCGAAGGAGGAACTGAAGAAGATCACGAAAAATGCTTTTTTTAAGTGCTTCGAGGAATGGAAAAAACGTTGTCACAAGTGCATTATATCCGAAGGGGGGTTACTTTGAAGGAGACAAAATAGATGTTCATGAATAAATAAACACTTTTTGAAAAAATACAAAATTCGCGATACTTTTTGAGCAGACTGTGTATCTTATAACTGCATTTTGGCTATATATGCCATTTATTGCTTGGTGGAGAAAATTTGTCAACCTCATGCGGGTGGTAGCTAGAGAGAGATTCTGCGGAGACTGTCAGGGTTGCGGCCGAAAGCCGCGCAACGTGGGACTTCTTTCTCATAAGATGAGTGGTATACTTATGACACGCTCTTCGGTTAGTAGCCGTGCTGACCATACAATTGGTGGTGATACCTTACACTTAAATCACGTGTACAAAAGCGGTGGTTTGGCAGGTGGTGGCGCTCATGGAGGACTTTCTATGGTCAGTGTACCTATAATTCGACGTGTTGCCTAAATAGTGTGACGTACATTCATTGTGACTAGATTTGATCGTATTTTGTATGGCGTTTACACACATTGACATGCACGACTTCGGTCAATATTTGTGCTTACGCACTACTCAGGAGCCAAGTCTCTTTTACTGATTCGCCTTTTTTTCTGTAGACTATGATACAGTTCCCAACTTGTCGTCCTTTCGGAGGGAGCGCTTTGGTTGTTTGGCACTCGCCGCGGCTGGTGTGTGCCCTTTGGTAGGGCGATGCTCGTGTATCGGCTAATTTTATATAAATATTGTGAGCCTTTTCCAAGTGCCTTCCACTTATT